TACCAGTCGATCGGCGAACACCCGATGAGTTACTCTCGCAATATTTTACGAGACCGTACACCCCTGACAGGTACCGTTTTTGAGTTAATTAGTGCAGTACGAATTTGTTTTCATGAGGTTCGAATGCAACTTGGAACGTGGGCGAGTATGTGAGTTTTTCTAGAATATTCCACTCTCAACGCAGTTTATGTTTACCCTTGATTCCGCTTAACGGGGTCTTGATTAAATGCGGTTCAAAGGGAACTGGGTTGCTAGACCGACTAACTTTGATCGCGCGTTGTTTACGTTGCACTTTAATTATGCAACTTTATAGGTCGGATGTTGGTGGGTTGGCTCTTTTATGCGGTAATATTGTAAACGCGATACGTACATATAAATAATTGGAGCTTAACTTCGTTAGTATAAAGTATTTTTTGGCTTTTACATAAGCCCATACTAATATTATGAATGCGAAAGTAACTCTGTCTGTCTGTCTCGCTTTCACGCCAGAACTACTGAACCGATTTAAATGAATTTGGTACACATATAGTCAAGAGCCTGAGAAAGGACAAGGGATTTTAATTGGAAAAATGTGTTGTAAAGGGTTGAAAGGTTAAAGAAAGATATTTATTTAATGGCTAGAACGCGAGCGAGGCCGCAGGCGAAAGCTAGTAAGCACGTTGTTAAAACTATGAATATTGCACATTTGTAAACAAGATATTTTCGGGTTTTATATTTAACAAAGATTTATTGAAAATAAATATATGTCTTATTATATTTAATGTTATAAGGGGAATATAAATCCACTTAAAAACAAGATACACTTTCTAGTTTTGACGTACCTACTATATGGAGGTAATAAAGCAGGAAATGTACTCGTAAATGATCTTAAAAGTTGTTGAAAATTAAAAATGATAATAATAGACCGCTGCAAGCAAAGTTTGTGAGTTGGGTTTTGTGTGGGTAGCAATGAATTATATCATCTAGATGAGCCTGCATTACTTTTTCAAATAAATTGTTTATTTAGCAAGTGAATCTGTTAGCACAATTATTCTTAAACGATAATTCGGAGTCAAAGTAAGGTAAATTTATCGGTTGGATTGAGTAAGTTTAATAAGTTTATTTATTTCTATAGTGATAACAATACAGATCGTTTATACTTAATTAAGGTAAGTTACAATAAGAGAATATGTACACTGTCTTCCAAATAGGCAGTGCCTGTATCGTGGAAGCTGGAGGGCGCTTCATGTAAAACGTTAATTAACAAATGAAAAGAAAAAAAAAGAAACAGACGGTTAGATTTACAGGATTGGAATTATAATAACGTAGACATAGATAATAAAGCACGATATATTTGTGGATAGAGAAGGAGAAACGAGGGGCAGCGCTTACCAAGAAGAGAGTTGGTCCGCGGACAAGGAATTCTAAAGGTACGTTTTGAGCTGCATTATTGGTTCGTCAACTAATTTTGCTCCCTTATGAACTAGTGAATCTTTTAAAACAATAGTTGCCTTCTCTGAAACGCAAATTCGCTGTACAGGTGGTTAGTGGGGTAGTCAAATGGTTTTCTTAATGTGACTTTTAAAACTGCTCTTTGGGCTCTTTGGATTGAGTAAGTATCCAATAGATGGCGCTATGTTAAAAGTCTGGACCCGGTCGTTGTCGCTGCAATCGGGTTCTAGGTTTTTTTTTAGGATTTATCGCATTTGGAAATACAATTGAAACGGGTAATAACAGATTTGGCGCAGACGAAGTTGCGCGGGCAATTAATTTAATATATAAATCTATGTATCCAAACTTATTTTATACATAAATTAAATTGTAATTTGTATTTAGAAATTGTTTTACAACCGACTCCATATTGATATTTAACACATCGTGCATGATTTGCACTTGATTTTCATCATATCTAGATATTTTTCATCCGTGAACCTCTCCCGAACTCCGGTGAAGAGTAGTTAAATTTTTTTCTTTGTGAAAATTGTTCCACAAACTCAAAACCCACTAATGGAGGAAGCCATTAAGTATTCATCGACTCCTAATTTATCTTACTTCTCAATTGTTCTCGATTACAAATCGGTAATTTTATCGCGAGTTTTCTTTTGCTCCGATCCTAATGAGCACCAAGTACAGAATATCGTAATTTGTGACTTGCGATGACGATAAATTGAGTTTGTTATGAAGAAGTAAGACTTTTAGTATTACACCTTTAGTGAAGTAAGACTTTTAGTATTACACCTTTTTTGTTCATTCTGTGGCCTAGCCTCACATTCGCTTCAGCTATACGTATTCAGAGGCTCGTCTGGTGTTAGAAATTATGCCTGTGTTAGTGACTATAGGAGACTAGCGAGGTGATCGGGGTTCATTCCACATATCCAACCCCACAGATGTTGTAGGCGTCATAGGTCGTATTACCAGATGTTATGTTAATATGTAACATAACATCTGGTAATACGCTAGTTGGCTTAACTAACTTAAAAATGTTATTTTACTTTTACATGACATTTTCAGTACGGTAGTAGGGCCACGCAGCAGCCTCAGCTGTTGAACGAATGGGCAGGCTCGTCAGGGTAAGTACCACGACCTCACAGAAGACCGGCGTAAAGTGGAAGTATAATACAATATATAAATACTTTCGCGTTGCCTATGGTGAGTGAGGTGGCCGGAGCCCAATTTTCAAAAGGTTGTCAACGCACCTGCAACCCTCGGGTGTAGCAGATGTCCATGGGCGGCGGTATTCACTTAACATCAGGTGAACCGCCTCCTCGCTTGGCAACTTTTCACATAAAAAAAAATAAAGTCATTCAAAGTAATAACTTGACTATTTGAAATTATTATTCTTCGATCTAGATTGTGGATATCTATTTAAGTAGGTACTTATTTAAAGGTTGACGTTGGGATTTTAAATGTTTCGGTCCCATCCCTTGATATCGAATGCACCTAAACAATACAAGCCTCAGAAGTAGAAAAGTTATCTACAATTTCTGCTTTACTTGTAGTAAAAGTAATGGGTAAATACCGTGGCAAAAAATTCCGTTTGATTTTCGCATTTAGTTACACCAAAACGAAAGTGCTCTGATATATTTGCCATTAATAAGTCGCTTCAATACATTTACTTGGTCAGACCTGTGTGCTGAGTGAAATCACTAATTAGGTGTCCGCTTCCCCCTCATTCACTGAACACAGCTATTGCTTCAATTTTCTTTATAAATAGTTGGTTTATGGAATTACATGTATATCGGTAGTCCATATTATAAAGGGGACACATCATATATATTATGAATTTAATATTGTTATCGTATTTTAGACGAACTTCAAAAAAGAAGGAGGTTTTCAATTCGAGTGTAATTTTTTATATTTGTTACCTCAGAACTTTTGAATGGGTGAACTGATTTGATGATTCTTTTTTTTTCAAGAGCCGGAGCTTCTCATGTATTTCCATATTAATTTCATTTTTGAATACAGAGGGAGATAATTGTGTAAGTTCGCAGTGAGCTGATTTTAAGTTGAGCCTTGAGAGAAGCCATATTCTTAGTAGAATTAATCAAGTAAGTCTTGCTAAGACAGCAGTGTAGTATTTTGCTCGTGCAAGCTATGTACCGCTTTATAACTACTTCGATCTATGATTTTTTTTTATTTATTTTGTTGTATTGCCACAGACTTATACTGGCTTATGACTTGATAAAGAACTTTTGAAGAATCCTAAATAGAATCCCACCTTGCTATCAGAGTTACGTCAACAGTCTTGGCTGTCGCAAGAATGGTTAGGTTAGGGTTAGTACCACGACCTCATAGAAGATAACCGCGAAGTAGAAGTGACAGTAATATACAAGGAGATTTTTTGAGGAGTGCCCAAATTGACACATGAGGTTCAAACGCAGTAGTATAATCGTTTATTGAAATAAAAACTTTTTTTTTTCAAAAAATGCCATTCTATTCCCTAAAAAAACAGAACGTGTTGGCAATGCGGTAGTCATTCATAAATACCTAAATTTTAGTGTGCACGAACTTGTGTGCGTGTTAGTTATGACTGTTCTGCGTAAAATAAATGAGCTCCGTATAAATCACGCATTTTTTTAGATAAGTTCAAATGAATGTAATTAATTTCTTACGAGTGATTTTATATATTTATCATTTTTTCTATAATTTTATTTATTTTTTCTATAATTAAAAAAATGGATACACTTAGAAAAGCCACCCTGTATAGTAGTTGGTCGGTCGGGTAGTATACTACTGCGTTTAGTCTAGTGAGTGAGGTAGTCGAAGCCCACTTAATAAAAGGTGGTAACGCATCTGAAACCGTATGGGTATTGTAAATGATAACGGCCTGTAGTTATCACTTTATATCAGGTGAGTCGCCTGCTACCTTGCCACTTTCTCACATAAAAAAAATATAAGTCTCATTAATCATGATCTTTTCAGGCGAATCATGCAGAGTAATGTCAGATTAGGTTAACGTATTTTTTTTTTCTTTTTATGAGAAAAGTTGCCAAACGAGCAGACGGTTCGGCTGATGTTAAGTGAATACCGCCGCCCATGGACATCTGCTGGTACACTCGAGAGTTACAGATGCGTTGACAACCTTTTGAAAATTGGGCTTCGGCTACCTCACTCACCATACGAAACGCGAAAGTAATTGTCATACTTCCACTTTACACTGGTCTTCTGTGAGGTCGTGGTACTTACCCGGACGGGCCTGCCCATTCGTGTAACAGCCGAGGCTGCTGCTTGGCTCTACCACCTAAAGTTTATGACACCTAACTACAATGTATTAAAAAGCTATTATATAAAAAATATAACATGCGTATGTGAATCAAAATTATAAAATAATAGCTAATAAAAATGTTTGTGAAACTCAAGTGAAACAACCGTCAGTTCCTATCGGAACTCTTTGAATCGTTGACAAATCATGACGAACGTTTAAATTGTCAGTGCGAAATATGGAATTGAAAAATAATCAATTATTTTGATATTATAATTCCGATTTCTGTTATCTAGTGACTGGACATAATAACTTGACGATGGCCAACTACGCTTATAATTACCCTCCTCAGTTCTCCCAAATGTTGCCTCCGAACGCAGAGTACGCGAGCCAAGGCGACGGATTGAGAGAATATTGTGAAATGGGTAATTCCAAAGTTAAGGAAACCAAACGGTAATTATGTTATTCTTTATCAATAATGTTGGTGTTGAGTGTTGAAATGATTGTTCCCAAGAGATTTTGACTTTACCCAATATATATTTGTTAGCTTCAGACGAATGTAAATTGCTTTAAAATTTAAATTCATTGATGTAATTAATTATAATCAATGGAAACATCACTCTGGAAATATCAAAATGAAAGCAACCATTACAATACAAATATCATCGCTCATTAAAACAAAGTGTATACTTATAGTTGTCTCTATTCTAATATTTATGAATGTTTCTATTGTTTCATGGATGCCTATTGAAATCTATTTAATGTGTAGGGCAGATCGTTCGACGCGTCCCACACACAAGACCCGTTCTCACTCCCAAAGCCGGTCAGGATCGAGTACCCATTCCCGGTCAAGATCAAGATCACGATCCCAATCACGGTCTCGGTCCCAAAGCCGCAGTGGCAGCCGAACGGCTAGTCGCCAACGCAATTTGAGCCTAAAGGAGCCCGGATTTTTGGACGCCTTTCGCGTTTTGTACCTCACGCGTAAGTGCTGAATGCAATTTTGTATGTGTATGTATTCCCCAAAGGAAACGAAGCAGCTGGGAGGGTTGATACGACGAAATTTCTTGCTTTAAATAGATTATGAAATAGAGTTACAGAAACGCTGACCAAAATTTCGATACACAAGACAGTATTCGTTTATTTTAATTTAGCTTGGTTTTCTAATAGCGGAAAGTATTTATGTTGTATCTGACTATATCGATAACAATATTTGTGTGACATGTGAAGACTACTGCACTTACAGTGGCCTCACTTTGCAGTTTATAACATGATATTTATGTTTTTTTTTTATATGAATATATTATAGTCAAAAGTTGGGCCCTGCGGGATTCTGCGTCTTCCGGGTAACGCGTCCAGACGCTTTTTATTTCAAAGTCAAAGTCAAAGACAAAGTATATTTATTCAATATAGGCTTAACTTAAGCTCTTATTGAACGTCAACAAACAATCTACCATCGTATTTACCAACTATTTACCACTATTTAATACCGTATTTATCAACTAAGCAAAGCGACCGGTGACCCTACGGCGTGAAAATCTCGACATCTATTTGTCATAACAATAAAAGCGTACAACATTATTTAACCAGGAGTAGTATAGGCTTTGAGGTGATAAATTTTTAAGCTGATAAGTTTGTTTTCTGCTACTGTTTTCCAAGAGGTAGACGATAATATCATCATAGCAGCTGGATCCACATCCTTTTAAGACCGCTTTTTTTCAACTGTTATACGTATAGGACTATAGGTGTACAAAATATACCGTTCAATGTTCGTTTTCAATGTTCATATTCTTATCAGCGGTTTTCCCATCGCAATCGCAGCCAGCAAACACAAGAAGAGCACGACCAAGTTTCTGGCGACGAAGAAGCGTCAAGACCAAATACAGGAGATCCTCAAACGCGATAGGCTCGGCTCGAAACGCTGGCTCTTCTATCCCCGGTCGCAGGCTCGGGAAGAATGGGGCGCAGCGGCTGCGGCCCGCGACCGCTCCGACCAGCGGTTCAAGGTGGACGCTGACTTCTTCAGGAAGTACAAGAGGAGCAGGAAAGTGGACAACGAGGCCCCAATCATGAAGCTGAAGCGATGGGAGCTCATCCTGTATAAGAAGCTTGGGTTCATTCAGGCCGTATGAGGGATGTGCATCGTCTGTCCTATCCGTTTAAGTTTTTTGTACAGTTGCCTTATTAAATATATTTTATAGGTTACTTATTATATTAATTCCACATACAAAACTTAAGCTTTATTTTTATTTTCATAACGAACATACCATTAAATGTTCGCCTTAACCAGATTTGGTTGGTTGGATATATGGTTTTGTTGTGTTATCGATTTTTTCTTTTGATAAACCATACAGCCAGCAAAAGGCTGGAAGAGCTGAAGTGAATCGACAACCATAAATTTCATGAATTTGTAATAGCCAAACATGAATCCAGCATAAACATAAATCGGGGTGCAACCTTACTCGCGGGCGGTGTTTAATGGTCTGTCTAAAAAGCGGCAAAAACTTTTAAATTAGCACCGAATCGCGAAGCTATCGCGCGGAAAATTGACACTCGAGCAAAACTATGTCGGGGTTTGGGGGCCGAGGGGGATTTCCGTTCAGTACCTCGTTGAGCTATCGTACATTCGTCGACTTGCATTCCTTCCCACCGTTTTCGCTGGCTTGTAGAAAATGAGCGGCGTTTTTACTATTTGATCGTTCTTTTTAGTGATAAATAAATAAATGAAAAAAAATTCAACGACTCCCCAGTGTAGTCGCCAAGGGATTGGCTTCGGCGTCAGGGGTTGTGGGTTCGATTCCCGCATGGTACAAGTGTGACCCACAGACGGTTTCGCATCTGGGTGTTTGTCTACGTGAAATTTAATGTTTATAAAATTTCCTTACAACGCAAGAAAAAAATAAAGCCGTGGTACAGTTTCTATGCTATATTTATAAGGCTACGACGCTAGCGGTCGTGGGTTCGATCCCCAGACGGGATAAGTATTTCTGCGACACTAAGGTTATTTCGAATCTGAATTTATTCCTAAGGAGGGTTGTCGGCAGGCTGGCGGTTAGTCCTTAAAAACCTAGACTACCATCCTTACTAATATTATAAAGGCGAAAGTTTGTATCTATGGATGGATGTTTGTTACCCTTTCACACAAATACTACTGAATGGATTTTAATGAAACTTTACAATAATATAGCAATATATACCAGAATAAGATATAGGCTATAATTTTTAAGTATATCTGTCTTTATGTCTGAATGTTACGCCTTAAGTCTATTCTACGCAGACGTAGTCGCGGGCAGCAGCTAGTTAACAATATGATTCACGTTTTGTGCCAACCCCACCTAGGTGAGATAAGGGCAGGAGAAAGAGTAGGAGAGGAATTTTTAATGATATATTGAAGGATGGTGAATGCTAGATTAATCATATCACTTATTCGAATAACGATAAATAATAATTGTCATTTAAATAATGATCCCTTTGAAATTGTGATCTAGGTTAATTACTATGTTATATGTTGTCTTGTGTATCGGTCTGCTTATTTCTAATTTTTGGGTTCTGAATATTGGACAACTGATTCCAAAATAATATAGTAATTTACGAGTACCTTATTAGTGAAGTGAGACAAGATATATTTTTTATTTTTGCTAATGAACAAAAGATCACCGGCGGGGCATTTCTACGGTGATTAATACACGAAATAATATCTTTGTTATCATACATATCATCCCTAATCCCTTCAACCTTAAAGTAGTCAACGAAATGGCCACATATGACGTAAAGTATTGAATTATCCTTGCAATTTCAACGTGGCATTCTGCACGTAGGAAGCTATGAGGAGTCGATTAAATAAAATTCGAAGCAGAGAAGCGGGTGTTCTGAGCACATAATGTGGTGAAATTATCACTTTCCGATGCTAATGCGCTATTGAGTTCGTATAATGTGAGAATAAATTGGAAGCAGTCAAGAGCTAGGGGCAGTAAGTTCTCCCCGCCTTTCGGGGATAAACTTATAAGGGGACCCTGATTTTAAGTTTGCTGGGATTTTGAGTCGATTCCAAACTGTAATGTTGGTATGAAAATATCCTTATCCTAGAAACAAGGCTTATGCTTTAAGAGGCCGATCCACTACTGTAGCAAATATCTGCAGTAGAAGATACCGCTTAGATTTACTTATGACTCCGTGGCACAGTTGCCAAGGTTATTGGTTTCGACGCCAGAGGTCAAAAAGGAAGATATACATATGTTAAGAAACAGTTATCTTGTGGGTTTGTAGTGTGGGCCACGAGACAAATATTTGTGTGATCACACAGATATTTTTTTCCGATCTGGGTATTTATCCGTGTGATGCTTATTTATCTTTAAGGAATTGTATTAGGCTGGTTCCCATCACCAACTTGACGAAATGTACAAGTACAGGTTCTCACACTTCATTTTCAATGATTTTTTTTTATTTAGAACTGGCCAGCACTTGACTGCCATCCCACCTGATGGTAAGTGGCGATGCAGCCTTTGATGGTAAGCGCGCTAGCTCAGTAAAAACCTATTCACTCTTGCCTTGAAGACTGTTGGATGGAAGGATTGACGTTGTAATCGGCAATCCTTCCATCCATTCCTTAGCTGTACGGATGATGAATGATGAGACAAATCGCTTTGTTCTTGTTTTGGGAACGTCGACAGCATAAGGGTGGAGCCTCGCCGAACGCCTAGTTGTCCGATGATGGAAAGGAGCAGGAGGAATCTATAGAATAAAATTATGCAACTCCAACGCACACTCTACAAAATGCATCCTGTAGAAGACCGAGAGGCTGGCTACTCTGCGCCTGTGCTCAAGGATAGTAAGGTTGGTTTTAACCAAGTTACGGTCACCAATAAGCCTTTCCGCACGTCTCTCCATTGAGTCCAAGGCAGCCAGATGGCATTTTGACAACCCGAATGGCGTAGTAGGTAGTGTACCTGCCTCCTGTGCCAGAGGATGTGGGTTCGATCCCCACTACTGGAAAAATATTGTGTGATGAACATAGTGTTTTTCTAGTGTCTGGGTGTTTATATATGTATAATATGTATTTATTTACAAAAGAAAAGTATGTTTAAGTATGTTTATCAGTTTTCTAGTACCCATAGTACAAGCTTTGCTTAGTTTGGGACTAGAGAATGTTGTGTAAAAATGTGTCCTAAAGTATTTATTTATTTATTTATTATTTATTTTGCAGCCCCAGCCCAGATATGGCAACAGTACTCCACACACGATCGGACTTGAGCTTTGTATAGCGTAAGAAGCTGCCCCGGTGTGAAGTACCGTCGCACTTTTGCAGGACACCTAACTTCCTTGCAGCTGCCCTGGCTTTAGACTCAATGAACCGCCCAAAGTTGAGGTTTGAGGATATTTCGACTCCCAACAACTGAAGGCGGTCGGTATACTCCAAGGACACATTTTGGAAAGTAGGAGCCAAGTTGAAGGGGCTCCTTTTTGCGGAAAAAAGACACGCCTGCGTTTTGGAGGCGTTGAATCTCACAAGATTGGCATCGCCCCATTCAGAGACCGCCTGCAATGTAAGATTCAAACGCTCTACCATGGCCTCTCTTTAGGACTGGATGTAATCTCTACTGACCCTAAGACTCGGTTGGTATCTCTCCACAACTGTGCTGTCGTCCGCGTACCCATAGATACCGGGTATGAGCAGATCGTTGATATGCAGCAGGAAAAGATTTGCGGAAAGGACGGACCTCTGAGGAACTCCGGCATTAGTCGTCAGTGGCTCGGATGAACAGTCTTCGACAACTACTCGGAGAGACCGCTCACTCAGAAAGTCCTTCACCCAACCGATTAGGCCAGGAGATATGCCACACGCTAGAAGCTTGCTAAGGAGGCTGGCGTGCCAGACCCTGTCAAAAGCCTTCGAGATATCTAGGGAAACCGCAAGTGCTTCACCATTGTTCTCGAGGGCCTCGCCCCAAAGGTGAGTGGCGTACACTAGAAGTTGACCGATTAAGGCGAAATCCGTACTGGCGGTCGCTGAGGAGGTCGTTCTGTTCTAGGTACGCCATGAGCCGGGCGTTCAATATACGCTCCATAGTCTTACATAGTATGGAGGTAATTGAAATTGGTCTATAATTGGCAGGATCGGCACGACTACCCTTTTTAGGAATGGGCTGTACATTCGCTAACTTCCAGGACTTAGGGACTACTCCAGTCTCAAATGAGAGGCGAAACAGACGTGTCAGAACAGGAAACAACTCGGGTGCACAAGCCTTCAGAACTAACGCTGGTATACCGTCTCTTTACCCGCGTGTGCTAGTGATCCATCTGGTTTTACCAGCGGAGGCAGTGATGGCCGACAAAAGTTGGATTCGACCGCTTTGGCAAGAGACCAAAAAGCTCTGCTGCCTGATGGTTGGGCAGAGAGCTTCGTGCCAATTTGTTGAATACGGTCGAATCCAGCTCGCCGCAACGTCTTTTTATAGGACTTAGCGGCCCGGTTAAAAGCTTCCTTCTTCAGGTTAATGTCCGAAGCTTTGCGGTGTCGAGCTTCAACTCAGGATAATTACGCCGAATGCTTGTTCTTTTCAGCCTTTGTACATTCAGCGTTAAACCATGGGCGAGCTTTGCCACCGATAGGTACACGATTCTTCAATGAAAAGACAGAAAAACATAATTTAAAAACTATGATGTTATTCATGGGAAGTTGGCGGAGCAGCGGGTTGTAATTAAATGATTAATGATATTTTTCTGTGAGAAGATGGCAAGCGAGTTGGCAGTTCACTTGATGTTAAGTGATAACCGTCATCCATGGACGGTATTGTAAGTGAGGTAGCCGCTCAGTCACCAGAAGAAGCGCAGAAGTATGACACTTCCACTTTACGCCGGACTTCTGTGAGATCGTGGTACTTACCCGGACGGACCTGCCCATTCGTGCAACAGCCGAGGCAACGTAGTGATTACATTCTCTTTGAGCCGAGGCTGCTGTGTGGCCCTACCACCAAGTGCTTTGTATTACATTCTTAAACAAACTCTGCAATTTGAAATGTAAATGCTAAGATTTTGTCATTGATCACTTTATTATATTATTGAAACTTATTTTCTAGTTTTTAGTTTGGATTAACATTAAAGCGTGGTGTTTTAAAATGTTGTATTGTCATCGGTGCTTGGTAAGTTGTGAACATTTTTTAATTATTCTGACGCTTTGAAGAGATGATAGTGTTCGAGGGTTTCTTTACAAACATGCAGATGAAGCTAATAAGTAAAAGCGCAAATATTTTTTTATGTGAAAAATTGCCAAGCGAGCAGACGGTTCACCTGATGTTAAGTGGATACCGCCGCCCATGGGCATCTACTACACCCAGGGGTTCCAGATGCGTTGACAACCTTATATGATTTATTTATTTATTTTTAATTACATTGACCTTACTGTAGAATAACGTTATCCTTGGTTGTAAGGACATTTTACATACACAAACTTCATGTGGGCAAACACCTAAAGGCGAAACCGTTATTTGTGTGACACACAAATCTCGGCGCCTATACCAATGCCTCGGTAACTGCGCTATAGATTCATCTAATAATATCTATATATTATTACGTGAAGCAAAACTAATGCACCACTTCTTACAAAAATTACTCCAACGGAGGAGTATGAAATTTCAGACAGTTATAGTTTAATATAGAAGTGAGAATAGAGTAGAAGGCTACCATTCTATTATTACATAAAACATACATTAAATCAGTAAAAAATCAAACCAAACTACCATGTATAATTAACTAGCGACCGCCCCGGCTTCGCACGGGTGCAATTTATTATATATATAAACCTTTTCCTCTTGAATCACTCTATCTAGTAAAAAAACCGCATCTAGATCTGTTGCGTAATTACGCAACAGATCTAGATGCGGTTTTTAAAATTTTAAAGATCTATGCATATATAGGGACAGAGAGACAGCGGGACGACTTTGTTTTATACTATGTAGTGATTAAGTTCGATTACTGAGTGACCACTAATATTATCAAAATAAGTCTACTGCTATATTGATTAGGCTCGGCAATTCCATTTCAACAGCATTACTGAAACGGATGCGTACACGAGAAAACAGCTTTACATCGCGACACGTGCGTCGCAACGGGATCGCGCCGAAGTCCCCCCTCTTGTAAAATTCTTAACTTTGGTCTCGTATATTCCACTCCTTATAATTTTAATTCCGCCCCCGCCTTTGCCCAAGGGAGCGGCGAGCGGGGCTCGGATCCTTTTTATGTTTGCATTCGGCTCGAACGCCCGACTTGTGCTTTTAAGTAATTGCTTGCATTTCTATTAAAGATAAAAGATCGAAAAAAAATCAAAATAACCGAACCCATCTCCCGACCAGTCGGTTTACGCTCGGCCGAACATTCCCAGATAGGATTTAGGTAAACTCGGCGAGCGTTAATTAATTAATAATTCTAGAATTTATGGAAATTCTAATTTCAGCGATTCAGCTCGACCCACCATTAGTGCCGGACGAAATCAAATGTGGCGCTCAGTAAAAGCAGTAAATCTAAAGCAATGAAACTGCCGCTATTAGACAAAGATGGTACTAAAATGCTATTTCAAAGAAGGTAATGGGACGTAAAATAAGTTCGAATACTGTTATTTTTACTGTCTGTGTGTCTGTGTATGTACATCGTATCTTATCCTTTAAACGAGCAATTCTTGTATAAATATATATATATATAATCGGAATCTCGGAAACGGCTCCAGCGATTTTCATGAAATTTAGTATGTGCGTAGATTCGGGGGCGAAAAATCGATCTAGCTAGGTTTATTTTTAGTATCAAGTATGACGGTAAATTTCGCCGCGATAGCTTGTCGGTATCAGACGGCCGTGGTTCGCGGCACGATCAATTTCTTTTTTTTTATTCCAGATCATTTTCTTTTTTTTAATTTTTTACATTTGTTAATTTCACTTTTTTCTTTTTTTTAAAGTTCTTTCTTTTGTGTCATATTTTGTGTATTATTGTGTATGTATTTCATCGCAGTAATTTATTAAATGTTTTTATATACACGATTTACCAAAAAAAAAAAAAACAAACCGGTCCTCCGGGTACTTATGTGTTTATAAAAGAACTGTACATAATTTCTACACGGTAATATCAAATAGACATTAATTTTCTTTTAGACGGAGCGTATGGAGGAGAGATTATCCGCCATATTTATAATGTTTTAAAGACTTTCTTTTCTTGTATAATTAATTTTAGTAAGTTAAATAATAATTGGTATTAGTATTACTTCGCTGGGTCAGTAAGGCATAGAAGTATTATGAAACTAGAAGGCTAGCACTGAAAATCAGCGCTGTGTTAGGGCCTTGACTTCCGGCATAGCATAATGCTGAGCTTATTTACCGGAATAGGGCGTACAATATTTTTGGTTTGTTAAAGTTATTTTTCATTTGTTTTATATTTTAATTATGTGTTTATGTTCTTTTGCTTTACTGAATTATTTATAAGTGTTTTTTTTTGTTTCTTTTATTTTTTGTTGATTTTAGTTTTTCTTTCTCTTTTATTGTGTACGTCCTTTTTTTGGTAAATAAATGTATTTTCTTTATTTTCAAATAATAATATATGTACTATACTTATCTTAATGTATGTACCATACTTATATAGTTTTATACGTACTATACTTTTATTCAAATTATTGCGTAATTTATCTTAAAACCTAGTCCAAGATAAATTGAATTCACTTTCTCATGTGTCGATAATCTTAAATTCGCAAGCATGATTTAAAAAAAATAATTTTTATTTTTTAATTAAAAAAAAATATATGCCAATATATGTCCCACTGATAAGCAAAGGCCTCCTCTGTACAGAAGGTATTAGGGCACAGTCCACCACGCGGACCCACTACGGATCGCGCGGACTCACATAACATGATATATTCGAAACATTTTTTATGTTGTTTTTCAAAATAATTAGGTTTTCTCACGATGTTTTCCTTCAGCACTGACCACGTGATATTTTGGCACATAAAATTTGCAATTTCATTGGTGCAAAATCGGGGATCGAACTCGGGTTGCTCTAGTATATTGAATCGAAAGCGAGCGCCCGGACAGTGAGCTATCACGGCGGTGAATAATAACGGTAAAAGAATAGTGGTGATAAATAGGATACTGTTGCCTCTATCTGTCTTGGGGCGGGGGAAAAGGGTCGAATCCAAAAGCACGTTTCTTTCATTCTTTCTAATTTGGCAGCTGCACAACAGTATGAAATAAAACGCAATGAGTATGCACAAAAAGGACCCGAAGCCAAATTAATAGCACAATGCCGCGCGTCCCGCTGTGAGCCCTCGCAACGGGGTGAAATAAAAACATTAGATATTTACACTTGATCAGTCCGCACCCTTTCCCGGGGCTAATACGTTTAGTTAAATGACCCCTGGAATCGTTAAAAGGGTCCCCGAAGCGGGATCGGGACGCAAATTAATGACCCCGGCTCCGGGTTTTTTGGTAATCAGCAATTAAGCAAACAAAATGATTCGTGGTGGACGATTATTTTAATTTTAACGCTTAATTAAACCTAAAGTCCAAATTTCAGAATGACCTCCTAATAACCTTCGGAGTAAAGGAGGTCAATAAAAGCGGACTTGTACGGATTTATTAGGTAAAATTATTAAGATTCGTGAGACATTATTAATTAAATCATGTAACGGCTTATCTCACGTCCATCGGTATATGTGCCGACTAGTTTGGACCTATCGGAGTTTCTTTATCAGCGTGAGTTAGATGAGTTGGCGGGCGCGCTCAATCTCGCAGTGCAACCTCAGATACGTCCGAAACTAGTCCGTACATACACTGATTGGACGTGAGTTCAACCGTTTAATTATTTTTAGCTTTCACTTCTTCTTAGTCGGACACTCTTGGCAGAGTGTTGTGTCTCGTCGTTACTGCTGGCTTCCAAGGCAGCCGCACGTCTGGCGATGTTCCTCCATTAGAGGCGGCTGTTAGCAATGGAAGCACCGATGTGCAATTACTGCGGTGGCTTTAGTAGTGCCGGTGATGAGGTCAATCCAGCGCGTGGGGCTCGACGTCGAGGTCTTCGCCTTCTACATGGCCGTGAATGACAAGTCTCTCCATGGAATCTTCTTTATTTCGCTATCCAATCCAATCCAATTTGCAGTCCACTGCTGGACATAGGCCTCCCCAAAGGCACGCTACAGAGCACCATTTTCCCCTTTCCTCATCCAGCCACTAACAGCGACCTTTCTCAGGTCATCGGTCCACCTGGCACCTATTTCGCTACATTCAGTTCGAAAAGTGAGGACGATCTTTTAGGCCAATATTTGGCTAGGTGTAGCGAAACGGCTTGCTACTCATTTCCTCAGCGCTACGATGGTGGAGGCAGCGATGGCTAACGATCTAAGGTCTTTTCATTGAGTATTCCACTTTTCGGAATACTTAATTGCAAAAGGCCGGAAGTGAAACTAAAAGAAAATTGAATAATGGACTTTTGTCCTTACAGAAATATATAAGAAACCAAGATTAAATCCGTAAACTAGTTTTTTTAATCATATCAAATCGAATAATTTATTTATCGAAGTAAGAAATGTATATTTCATCTATCAATCGTCATTTTTTAAATCTTCAACCGTTTTGTAGTGTGGTCCCTCTAACGAAGAAGAAACAGCCGAAAGAAAATCCGTAGATATCCCCTTTTTTGTCATTTTTTTCCCTTAAGCTATTAAAATGTTACACAGTATACAATTTTTTTCTTAGAAACAGCTTGGGGGCGATCATCTCATTCCCAGGGCTTAATATGTAATATTACATACATGTAATATGTATACCTAGCTAGCTATTTTAGAGTTTTTTTCTTAGCTTAAACATGGTCGATTATTGATCCACGTAATTATTAACAACGATAAAGTTATAACAACTGCAGAGTTAAAGCTTAAAATAAGAACCAAATACCAAATAGAACTCTACATTTTTCAAAACTGTTATTGCGTGAACTTCTAGAAGTCCTTGTAAATGAATAACCCAATTTACATTACCATTAATGGATTTTATGTGGGATATAGTTTCATTCATAATATTTTTACTGCATCATCTCCGCATTTCGGATTGGCAGTGACTCAAATGAAAGGCGTGCGGTTTTATCTGTATATTAAATTAAATGTACAGTTGATAAATTATCGTAACATATTTATTAAAATGTGTTACCATAGGGCAACAGCTTAAGTTATAGTTGTTTCTACTCTCAAATAACATACACATAATTTTATTTTTTCCTTTATTATGTATTTTTTTAATAATAATGATATTTGTTTATTGACTCAACAAATTTTACACAATAACTAACACTACTTAAAAGAAGCATCAATTACATTGAAAAGTTAACGTCGTCAACCATAGTAGTATATACTGTGTCACGGCTTACGCGTACAACCTTATAAGTAAATTATAACATTTTTGAGAACAATATTTAGAATATTTGCAAAACAAAACTAAAAATTGAAAACATGATGGTTAATACCACAAGATGTGTTGGTGTCGTCTAAAACTACACAACAGATCTAGATTCGTTTTTTTTTTTATTAAAACAGTGATAGATTGATTCAAGAGGAAGGTTTATAATTATGTATAATTTCGCTAGGGTCGCTGGTAGTAATTATAACTCAGTAACAATTTTGGTGAGAAGAAAAAGGCGAAACAAGCCTCATCTACAATAAGTGCAAACCTGTATAATGCAGTGCGCCCCAAATTTGTCTACTCTTAGTAGTATAGTCAAATACTCTAAAAACAAAGAAAACGTTTGTGTCTCTTATTTCGCGTAACTACCTAAAGTCTTTACTATTTATTGAAAGGAGCGCAACAATTGATATTGCAAATATGTTTCAAAGGAATTGTTAGATTTAATTGTATCGGATTAAGCATTCACTCCCCATGCCATCCCCTGGGCGTCGTAAGATGTTGCCTCAATGATCTTACGAGATGAGTACATTGCGCAGTAGCCATCCCAAGAATTTATACTACTGTCAGAATAATAATTAGAACAAAGTAAATTATGATGCAAATATTCATATATCTATAAATATTAATTAATCATGCCAATTAGAAGAAAGATAGACTTTCATCAGAAGATAGATCTTGACGATTGTGGTGCTTAGCAGCAGTCATTCTTAAACTCATCTGCTCGTATTAAATCTTTTGCGAAATGTAACGTAAATCGAAAGTTTTATTCCTGTTGCTGTGACATTATAATTATATTCACATACTCCACAGAAGTTGTATAATCACTAAACAAAAAACCTGGTTCTCTCAAAATCCACCTCGAAAAAACCTTGGGACATTCAAATACTTCTATCTTTCAAAATAAATTGAATGCCTATTCCATGATAAAAACTTCTTGCTATAGCTGTTTCGAGTGCTTACTGTGTTCCAAAGCTTTAAAGTAATTTAAAGCTACAAAGTACTTTTCGTAAATGAATTAAAATTGAGGCAAGTGGTAAAAGCGATTGCGGCCTAACACAATAACCGTCGTTTGATGCTCGCGAGCGCCTGTCCATTTCGAATAGCAACGTCTCGAATAAAATTCATAGCGCTCCTTTGGCGGGGGCTAACGAAGCGCGCCGGCTATCCCTTTGTCTGGAATTATGTGGTAAATTTGGCGTAAACACTTCAAAACGCTCCCGGTAATAATGTTTCGGCCGGAACTATCGAAACGCATCAAGAATTTATTTTGCCTGAGCGGGAACGGCATTACGTAGAACGAGGTTTGTATGACGCGCCTTTGTGCTCCTTTCGGCTATTTGGGGCCGCGGATGTTCGCAGCCTGGACGTGACTTGGAATGGGCTTCTGAACGCTTTGTTGCTATTGATTTTTATTCGACCGCATGAATTCGTTGAATACCTCAGCTATGAATATTTTCGATGGTTTATTATTCAACATTGATCGACTATTCATATATATCACTCTATTATATGAATAAGCAATATCGTTCTTACGTTGATATAAGTCCTGTGTAAAAATTATTCATCGTTCATCTTTTGTTTATATATTATGAAAAAACATTATCATGGTTTCTGTTTATGCCTGAGGAATATGCAATTTTCGTGTAATAATATTTTTTTCTTTTGGTTGCAATACATAATCATTAATTGGAGCATTACACGTGAAGCGGACAGGAAAAAAAATTTGATGTTACAGGTAAAAATATTTGATTATGTAATAATATCTATTATATGTTCTCAATCTAGATACAAAATATTTTTACAGTATAAAATGTAATTAGATTTAGCGGGCTTTTAAAATTTGACATAACACTGACTCATATTCTAATTCTTAAATCTCTCCTAGTATAACTCTAGGTAAACGGTAAACTCTCTAGGTATAACATAATCAAATATAACTAAAATCGGAAATATCAACATTTTTTACCTGTCCACTTCACGTGGAACGCTATTTATCATCGATTTTAAAACTACTCAGCCACATTAATACGAATGCTAGTGTTAAAATATATGCAACTTAATTTCAGTGACATTTATTTTCACTGGATACGTTACTACTGCAACATTTCCATAATGTTCCATTGGTGTGATCAAATATCTATTCATTACTATATATTTTCAATATCCAAGCTTGAATGTGCTATTTTAGCGCAACATACATAGATAAATAAGTAATTATGAAAGCCTTCTGTTATCATCAGTCGGAATGAGACTGATATTAACAAAAGTACACTGTAGACTAAAATGTGGGCAGATCCGCAAATTTTGTTTATTCTGGAACTGAAGACGAATCTCTGCGGTATTTTTATGATACGCATTTTAAAAGAATTTGTTACCAAAACGTTTCTAGTGCTTCCAAGACGTTTTCTGTACATCTGCGTCGGATATTCCCCTAGGTAATTTGGATTCAGGGTACGCAGAAGAAGTTTTGTGCATACCGTTAGGGGGAACTATTTCAAATGTTGTGTACTATGTATTACTTAATAGTCACCTTGAGGGCAGGAGTGCACGTTGTTGTAATTTTGAATGTCGAATGATATATAATGCAAGAACTGTGGGGTGGAAAGTTCTAATGAAATGTTAAAGATTAATTGGCCACTGGAAAATGCTTGTTAAAACTTTGTGCATGTAATTACACAGTGGGGATTTTCGTCAAGATATATTTGGATGCTAATATCAAATGAACAGATATGTTGAAAATACAGTAGGAATATTTTTAGATATCACTATTACCAATCAACACTTGATTTTTAAGTGGTCACTATTACCAAAAAATACTTCATCGAACCGATCAACACTTAATAGTTGAGTGAGTCTTAAAAAGTCAATGATAAGCTTCTACATTTTGCAAAATTGATACAGTTAATTTTTGTTGATAATTTTTCACAGTTCACGATATATGGACTGCGTTATTTGATATTGTGAAAAACTGCGACTGTCACTTGGCTACCATTACCTGATGTTAAGAAACCTACAGCTGTACATTTTTTTCCCAATGATTCAGCGTACTTAGTATTCCACCGAAATCCACTTTCAAAGCAAAAATCAAATCAAGGAACAGACTTTGTAAAATCCAGAGTCGATCGTAAGAAGCTTCCGAAAATTTTAAACGTAATATTCCCTGATTTAAATTAACAAATCTAATTTCTGGGACCGTAGATTATAAGAGCGTAACTTTTGGCCACCCCATTTATCATCCCCTGCCAGTCTCGATAATTTCTGGGGTCACAATCGCTTCGTAAAATTTATCGTAGGCCGTACCTTGCCTCAGGCACCAACGGGTACAAATGTATAGGAACGATATTTACGCGGTGGTTTTTGTTATAAGAAGTAGCTTGCTCTTTTACATTAAACTCTACGCGTCGATAAAAACATAATAACAGCAGAGTATTCTTCAAGGAATATTTATTTTCAACATTGTAAAAACTGCTTAATTATGTCCCCCCATATTGTACACACTGACCTGTACTGAACTGAACTGGCTTTGCAAAGGTTGCTATTATTTATCTACTAGATGTCGCTTAATTCATGAAAGATAATACTTAGCCGATCATGTACTAAAAAGAAAAAAAAAATAGTAATCTCTTGGACCATGGCCCGAGGAATATGTTGAGTGTTGGAGACATTCCAATTTAAGCTACTCTAAACTACCGTCGTCGTGATGTGTGAGGTCTAACGTTGTCCTGAAGCAACATTGGGCTAGTCGCTAACAGTCGCTTGTTGAATAGCGAGTTTTTCCATCACGGTTTGCAATCGTTGACAACACAGATGTGCCGTAATCGACTAATCAGATCTTAAGAAGCTGTAGTGTATGATATAAACGCACGCCAGTACCTCTGAGTCGACTCTCGCTTGGGACAGGGTTCAGCCGGTTCTCCAGGGTTCAAACACTGTTATG